AGGCCCGACTTAGCACTTGCCCGATGTCTTCCCCGAACGCTTTCGCGTGGAGCGTGCTGGTGTGAGATTACATATCCGCCAGGGTCCCGCAACGATCGCCCCACTGGCCACTGAGCAACGCAGGGGAGGAGGAGGAGGAGGAGGAGGAGGAGGAGGAGGAGGAGGAGGATGACGAGGAGGAGGAGGAGGAGAAGGTGGAGGAGGAGGAGGAGGAGGAGGAGGAGGAGGACGAGGACGAGGAGGAGGAGGAGGAGTAGGAGGAGGAGGAGGACGAGGACGAGGAGGAGGGGAGCCTACGACCCGAAGAGGCTTTGAACCAGATGTAGTGATGACCCAGCATGCAAGCGCTGATGGCGTCATAACTGCAGGATGCCCTAGTAAGTTTGAACAGCAAAACTTCGAAAACTCGAACGGGTCACCTTGAATAGCAAAACTTCGAAAACTTCGGAACTTCGGAAACCCAGACCGGCAGGAGGTCTCGCTCCCCATCCGGGCAGCTCCCGCGCAGGCCACCGATGGGCCCCGTGCGGGGCCTGGGAGGAGACGGGCAGTGCCCCCAGTATGGCCCCGAGTTCCAGGAGAAGGGGGAGGAGGAGGAGGAGGAGGAGGAGGAGGAGGAGGAGGAGGAGGAGGAGGAGGAGGAGGAGGGGGAGGAGGAGGAGGGGGAGGAGAAGGGGGTAGAGGCAAGCCTGGGGGCCCACCAGAGCCTCCAGGGAGAGTCCCGGGATGGCCCCTCCACGGGCCCCGAGACGCTTCGAACAGGACCGGGGGAGGACATTCGGATGACCGCATGGGATATTGAGGATGCCAACAGGAGCTACGAGAAAACCTATGCACGGCGTTCACATGCTACCGCTACTGCAGTCGGCTGCATGATCGCATGCACGACTACATCAATGAGTATGCGTAGCCACACGTCACAGAACATATATCTGGATCTCCCGACGTGTGAGAAAACGTCTTCTGTGTACGCTCCACTGGTGCAAGAGAAACCTTCCCTGCTCTGGAGCACACACCCCTCCCCAGCGGCTCCCAAATCCCCCCATCCTGTCTGGGACGTCTCCCCCGCAACCCTGGCGAGACTCCCTCCAACCCCCTCCCACTCCTCACCGCATCATCGTCGTCGTCATATGCCAGCGCCGGGCGCCGCTTTGTGCGGGAGGGCGGGACGCGTTCTCGACGTCGTCGTCGGAGAGTGGGTAGGGCGGGCGGGACACGTCGCAGTGGTCGTCGTGGTCGGGCGGTCGGTGGAGTCAGCACCAGACGTCGTCGTCGTCGTCGTGGTGGTCGTCGTCGTCGTCGTCGTCGTGGTCGGCGTCGTCGTCGTCGTCGTGGGCAGTCGAGCGGGCGGGCGGGACACGTCGTCGTCGTTCTCGTCGTCGTGGTCGTCGTCGTGGTCGTCCTCATTTTCGTTGTCGCCCTCATCGCCCTCGTCGTCATCGTCTTCGTCGTCGGCGGCGGCGGCAGCGTCGGCGTCGGCGTCGCGGGCGAGTCGTGATCGAGGTCGTCGTCGCCCTCGCCCTCGGCGTCGTCGTCGTCGTCGTCGTCGGCGGCGTCATCGTCGTGTCTTCGTCGTCGGCGTCGTCGTCGTGGGCGAGCCCGTCGGTCGGGCGAGTGGGCGGGACACGTCGTCGACGTCGTCGTGGGCGAACCAGGCGGGCGGGCGGCCGGTGCACGTCGGCGTCGTCGCTTGCCAGCGCCAGAGAGGGGAGGGGGGAGGGGTCTCGAACCTCCCTTCGAGCTTTTGGAGGGGGAGGGGGGATCCGAAACCGTTGCCCCTCCCCCTGAGTGCTTCCAAGCATTCTGACTGCTCTCTCTTAGAGTTCGTCGAGCGCGAAAGGCGTCCGACCAAGTACGTCTACATGCGCGGCCGCACAAAACACGACTCGTTCTTCCATGGGCTTCTGCACGTCCCCATGGTCCCTGTTGCGTGCAACCTGCGGCTGCGTGTGACTGCAGGCGACTACGCACATGTGCATGCGGCAGCCACCTACCAACTCAACCTACCGAGGCTCATGTCCGACAGAGAAGTACACAGTACCGCCGATGTGCGCATGAGGCTCCCTGGGTCTCCCCTGGCCAACTTCACATTCGAATGCAACTTGTTACGAAGGAGCACTCGCACATCTTTCCTGCCACATAGATACATCAGATCTAGCTCCGTTGGGCTCCCCAGGCGTCCCTGGGCCCTGCCCCCTCACGATATCGTGCAACGGCGAGGAGCCACACACGCGCACGCACGGGGACACACAGGACCACACGAAGCACCCCAGGCCTCGCTGCGCCCTGGAGCTGCGAGCGATGCCATACAATCTTTACGACTGGCTGCTTCTCGCCCCATCCAGGGAAGCAGGGGTGGCCTCATCATGAAGGCCTGCACGGTGCTCATGCCACGCGGTATCCTGGGCGGGGGGGGGGGGGGCGGGCAAACGGAGGGAGGAGGACACTGACTTCCGACGACGTGATTACGTGACGTGGTGGGTCCCACCCCACCCCCGTCACTCTCGACCCCCGGCCTGGAATCAGATTTTCGCCACGGGCCGTTTAATACATGATATATATATATACACATGTATATGTAATGTATATGTATGTGTGTATGTATACACCTATACGACGCCCGTCGGGTGATGAGGAGGTGGGGGTAAAACAACCTACTGAGGACAGCTGCGATGATCGTGATGGTGGCGATGCGGATGATGCGCTCACGAGGTGGTGACGGTGCAAGACGACGATGCTAACGACAATGCATGATGGAAGTGGGCTCACACACTGGCGCTGCTGGCCACAAAACACACACACACACACGCAAAATGGCGATGACGACGGTGGCAAATATTTGGCCTCATACACCATTGACGATGGCTGCGGCGGGGCACCGACGGGACACGGACGGGACACCGACGGGAAACCACGGGACACCGACGGGGCACCGACGGGACACAATGGCGGGACACCCCCGGCCACCGCCCGCGGACACCGACGGGACACTGACTGGACACCACGGCGGGACACCACGGCGGGACACCCCCCGCCTCGACGGCCCACCGGAGCGGTCGTTTACCTTGACCCGCCCTGGCCTCAGCGGAGTCATTCCCCTCGCCCGTCCACGCAGCTTCACCTCGCCCGCGCGCGCCACACGAACCCGAACCCGGAACCGATTTCCCGACTTGCGTCGGTCACGCGTCGATTTGCTCGAGCCCTCTCGGGCCTGCGAGCGACAAAACACATCCTCATCTTCACAAGCTCCTCCCAATCCGTGCTAGCCTCTCCTGGTTCGTTAGGTAATGCACAGGCAAGGGCGGGCGGCGACGTGAACTGCAGCATGCGAACCTGGTGCGCGCTCGGCGGCAGTCCGATCTGCGCTGAACAGTGCGGGCGTCCGTGCCGCCCGAAGACCGACTCCACTGAGGTGATCAGCTTGGCCAGATGAGATTCCGCAGTGGTATCATCCATCGCTCTAAACTTACCTTTGTCACTGGGCGGATGCTCTGGAACCAAGATTTGAAACCCAAGGGCCTCGGGAAACGGTGTTGGCCAACGTTTTTCGCGCGGGACATTAATTTCCCCCCCCCCCGTAGCGCGCTGCGTGTTTGAAGTCTTGCCATGGGAGGCAGCTCTTTCTCAAAGCTCAAGATTGAGCGCTGGGGGGGGCCTCTGCGACCTCCCCATGGACTGGGGCGAAAGAGATCCCGGGAGCACCTGGGATCTCTACAACACAGGAGACAGGCCGAATGGGGAACCTGATGCCCTCGCCGGGAAAGCCAGATGGCTCCAGGTTGCAGGTTCCCATCCCCAGGTAGCTTTCGCGAACATGGCGACCCTCGAGGAATCGCAGCCGTCTCCGAAGTCGTTGAGACTGAGACGGGGTGCGCTGGGTGCCCTAACAAAATTCCAGCCGTTCTGCAGACCCCAAGCTGATGCTGTGGCGATTGGTTCCTCCATGAGCTTCACCTCGCGAGCTGACGCAGCAGAAACGTGGTCCGCATCGTCATGCTCGCCCAAACGGTCCCTGATTGCTCCCCAGGAAAATGGCCTTTCCCCCGCACTCACCTTCCCAATCGAAGTGGTTATGGTCAAAAGTAAAATCGCCAATGGGATGCTCTGAATCATATATGGGATATGATGGGCATGTCGTGCTGCCCTCTGAATCGCCGTGTGAACGCTTGAGGTCCTGTAGGCAGCGAAATCCGACAGGCCCTGACCCGCCCATGTTGCCAAGGCTCCTGGTCATCCTGCCGGCTTCGAGGAGAGCGTGAAACCGGGCGAGGACCATCTCCTGGCCCAGCTACTCCTTGCCCTCACCTTGCCAACGATCGCGCTCAGCTGCGCGATCTGCTGCTTCAGCTCCTCGTCCACGCTGTTGGCTAGCTGAGGCTGCTTCTGGTTTAGGTTTCGGTGCAGGATGTCGTTTCGGCTCGGCATACGCTGGGCTCGCAGGGGCCAGTGCTGTTGGTGGTCGCCCACTGATCTGCGCCTTCTTGGTGTTCCACTCTGCCTGACGTTCAGGGGGGTGAGCTTCTCAAACTCCTCGAGCTGTATGGTGTAAGCGATATCTGGTGAGTCGGTGTTTGCCGCGCCCAGTGCTTCTTCGAACTTCTTTGGCAACTGCTGAGCAGACTGGACAACGACTTGGCTGTTTCATCCTCAGGGCGCCGTAATGCCAACTTTCTGCCGCCACCTGTAGCTGTTGAAGGTCGCCGATGTGCTCAGACGCCGTCGACGCCCATGCCTTTGTCTGTAGCTCCTTCCCATGCTGAAGTGCACGCTGAGCTGCACCAGCTTTCGACTACAACGGTGTACTCTCACTATTGCGCATATTTACCAGCATCTCTTCCAGTTGCCCGATGATCTTCTCATTCTATTCCAGCAGCACTTGCAGCCTTGATAGCTGACCTATCGCACGCCGAACGCGCACCACCGCTCGTCGTACTCTGGTGTGGTTGGGCAGGTGCACCGCGGCCTGCTCTTTGCATTTCGCCAGCCTCCGCTTCGCCTTAGCGATGGCCTCGGCGTTTCCAGGAGTCTTCCTTGAGCAGGGCTGCTGTGGCCAAATATTTCTCAAGCGATTGAATCTGTGACTGGATCCTCTGGCCGTCCTTTACTTGGGGTCGGGCATGCCGTGCCCCTCTGTCTTCACTCGTGCCTTTGCCACGCCCGACTGCGACGGTGAGCCTCCGCAGCGCTCCTCGCACTAACGGGAGAGATCGCGTTGTCCCCACCCACCGCGTCTGGACATAATTCTGTTCCCGCCCTCTGCGTCCCCTTTGGTGCTGTCCCTCCCCTTGCCGTGGCGGAGTAGAGCGCAATTTGTGGACGGAGGTTAACGACCACTGAATCGAACCTACCGTATGGTCCGAAGGTAGAGGACGATAGGGAGAGAGAAGAAGATACTCTTTTGTCCATGCGCCCGTCGAAACAAAGGGCGCTCAAGATGTCCAATATCCAAGCCGAGAGGACAGTAGGATAGATGGCTAGAAAGGGCAGATGTGCGGTCTTCACACACACACCATATACTGAAGTCGGGCGTGTCCCCCTACAGATGGATTTTCGACGAAAAATGAAAAATACCCCAAACATGCCCCAACAAGTTCAAAAAGTATTCAAAACATAGTCCCCAGACCATTTTTGCACTATTTTTGACTATTTAGGGGGTATTTCTAATTTGTCGTCGAAAATCCCCCTGTAGGGGGACAGGCCCGCCTTAACCATAGACATTTCTGGATGTTCGCGCCGACGTGCGCCCACGGACGAAGAGACCGCTCCGCGTGAGGCGCCGGTCCGCGCCGCTCCGCGTGAGGCGCCCAGCGCCGCTCCGCGTGAGGCGCCTGCAGCTACCGCGGGAAAGACCGGAAGCCCACGGCCGCGCGGCGGCGGCTCGCCGCGTGAGAGCGGGGGCCCAACACTGAAGGGGCCCCAGGACACACAAATCAATACACACAAATCAATACACACAAATCAAGGGGCCCCAGGACACACAAATCAATACACACAAATCAATACACACAAATCAAGGGGCCCCAGGACACACAAATCAAATAAAACGATTCCCCATAGTTTCCCATATGTTCTGGGTTTTTGTCTTCCACCCCACACTTCCCATGTTTTCCTATATTTTCCTGGGAATCGACGATTACTGTAATTGTGTCTGTGTCTGTGTGTGTGTTGTTATCCCTCCTGTTCAACACTCCCGCCGTGAAGGCGCCGAGGAGACACCGGGCCGAGCAGCCTTGCCTGCCGCGGCTCGGCGGGGCATCCCCTTCCCTTCCAGGGGGAAAGGAGCATCTTGAGCCACGATGGCTACGGAAGGAGGAGGGAAAGGGAGGAGGAGGAGGAGGAGGAGGAGGAGGAAGAGGAGGAGGAGGAGGAGGAGGAGGAAAAGGGAGGAGGAGGAGGAGGAGGAGGAAGAGGAGGAGGAAGAGGCGGAGCCGCTGGCGTCCTGGTCGTCTTGCCGACGAACTCGTTGTTCGAGTACTCGACCATGCCGCCGGCGGCGGTGGACGGCGGCCCAGCGAGCGTGGAGCTGGAGACCTGAGGGCCGCCCAGCGGCCGCGGCGCACCCCCAGCTTCACCCTGTGAACAAGTTCACGGATGGAGGGCGGGCGGTTTTCAAAATGTTGCTCTCGCCTTAGCACCGCGCACATTCGCTGTAAACATGTGCAGCAATTTCAAGCATGAAAGGCGGTGTTTTTCGAATTGTAGCTCCCGCGCCAACACCACGCACATTTGCTCTGGAAATTTGCAACCGTTTCACAGATTCGAACGGCTGGAGTCCTAGGAATGGCGTTCCGGGAACATTTAAGCACATCAACGTGCAACAGTCACGCTGATTCGCGGTGTTGCAGTTCCAGAAAGGGTGTTCTGGCAAACATTAAGACTGTCAAGACGCAACAACCTGGATTGGTGTGTTGGCACGGTCGAAGAATCTCAGACGGTTGTCTTCAAATGGGGCTTCTCGTGCCATGTTACGTAAGAAGTTCTTGTAGGGCCCCATGAAGAGGGAGGAGGAGGAGGAAGCGGAGGAGGAGCATGAGGAGGAGCAGGAGGAGGAGCAGGAAGAGGAGCAGGAGGAGGAAGCGGAAGAGGAGGAGCAGGAGGAGGAGGAGGGAGGAGGAGGAGGAGGAGGAGGGGTGACTTGCAGCTTCGTGGATGCGTCAGGGTCTTCGCTGGTCCTCCTCCTCCTCCTACTCTTTCCCTGCTGCTGCCGCCGCCGCCCTCCTCGCCCTCCTGCTCTTACCAGCCTCGAACGTATCCCTAGCCCTAAGATTGACACGCCAAAAGGCGATGACAATCTTAGGAATTCGCCCTCAAAAATTACCCTGGCGACGTACCCAACCCCTGCGCAAAAGCGGGGCGCAAATAGTTTAGGATACTTTATAAAGGGGGCGATGACGGAGCGAGGGTTACATATGTCTGCAGACGGAATTCGGGAGACTCGCAGGACACTGGCTACAGGAAAAGGGCTTGATAAAGCTGATGATTTACAATTCCTGAGCACTCCTAGCCACTTCGAAAACGGGGATCACAGCAGGCCTCGAAAGTGGCGACAGGTTCGCAGATCGCAGCCCCGCAGGGATGGCGAGGTCTCATTTGAATCTGCCCGTGGCCCTCACTGTGCTGGGCCCCCCAGCAGGCCTCGAAAATGGCGACAGTTTCGCAGATCGCAGCCCCCCAGGGATGGCGAGGTCTAATTTGAATCCGCCCGTGGCCCTCACTGTGCTGGGCCCCCCAGCAGGCCTCGAAAATGGCGACAGTTTCGCAGATCGCAGCCCCCCAGGGATGGCGAGGTCTAATTTGAATCCGCGCGTGGCCCTCACTGTGCTGGGCCCCCCAGCAGGCCTCGAAAATGGCGACAGTTTCGCAGATCGCAGCCCCCCAGGGATGGCGAGGTCTAATTTGAATCTGCGCGTGGCCCTCACTGTGCTGGGCCCCCCAGCAGGCCTCGAAAATGGCGACAGTTTCGCAGATCGCAGCCCCCCAGGGATGGCGAGGTCTAATTTGAATCTGCCCGTGGCCCTCACTGTGCTGGGCCCCCCAGCAGGCCTCGAAAATGGCGACAGTTTCGCAGATCGCAGCCCCCCAGGGATGGCGAGGTCTAATTTGAAGTGGCCCTCACTGTGCTGGGCCCCCCAGCAGGCCTCGAAAATGGCGACAGTTTCGCAGATCGCAGCCCCCCAGGGATGGCGAGGTCTAATTTGAATCTGCCGTGGCCCTCACTGTGCTGGGCCCCCCAGCAGGCCTCGAAAATGGCGACAGTTTCGCAGATCGCAGCCCCCCAGGGATGGCGAGGTCTAATTTGAATCTGCCCGTGGCCCTCACTGTGCTGGGCCCCCCAGCAGGCCTCGAAAATGGCGACAGTTTCGCAGATCGCAGCCCCCCAGGGATGGCGAGGTCTAATTTGAATCTGCCGCGGTTACCCTCTATGCAGGACCCCCCAGCAGGCCTCGAAAGTGGCGACAGTTTCACAGATCGCAGCCCCCCAGGGATGGCGAGGTCTAATTTGAATCTGCCGCGGTTACCCTCTATGCAGGACCCCCCAGCAGGCCTCGAAAGTGGCGACAGTTTCACAGATCGCAGCCCCCCAGGGATGGCGAGGTCTAATTTGAATCTGCCGCGGTTACCCTCTATGCAGGACCCCCCAGCAGGCCTCGAAAGTGGCGACAGTTTCACAGATCGCAGCCCCCCAGGGATGGCGAGGTCTAATTTGAATCTGCCGCGGTTACCCTCTATGCTGGACCCCCCAGCAGGCCTCGAAAGTGGCGACAGTTTCACAGATCGCAGCCCCCCGCAGGCAAGACAAGAAGAGGCGGGAGGCGGGAGGCGGGAGAAGGGAGAAGGGACGCGACCACACTGCTCTATTCAAAACGAATACCCAACCAAGGAGGGTTGGGAAATATGGGAACCCCTAAGATTGGCATCGTAATGGGGAGGTGCCCAGCATAGGGATAGGGATATGTTCCAGGCTGGTAGTGCTCCTTTTCCTCCTGCTGAGCTGCTTCCCTCCTCCCCCCTGCTCTGGCCTCGCCTCCCTCGTGCTGCGGCTGCTCCGCCCTTTCCTTCCCTCGCTCCTCGGCCAAATTCCTGCTCTTGCCCCCTCCTCTCCGCAAGCTGCAACAGGGGGAGGAGGAGGAGGAGGAGGAAGAGGAGGAGGAGGAGGAGGAGGAGGAGGAGGAGGAGGAGGAGGAGGAGGAGGAGCAGGAGGAGGAGGAGGAGGAGGAAAGGGAGGAAAGGAGAGGAGGAGAGGGAGGAGGAGGAGGAGGATGAGGAGGGACACCTCGAAACACTACGACCGAAGCCGGAGGCCCCACCCTGTGGCTGCGTCTTCTGACCTGCATCGGCCCGTGAGGGCCCCGGGGGGCCGAAGCCGGGCGGCAGCGCCCGGCACGAAGAGAAAAACTGCAGCGCCCAGGCCGTCACCTCTCGGGGTCCTCCAGCCTCCCCCTCCCCGCTCCCTCTGCCTCTCCCCCCCCTCTGTCCTTCTCCCGCCTCCTCCCCCTTCCCCCATCCTCATGTGGCGGCGCGCACACGGGGGAAAGGGGGGAGGGGGGGAGGCTTCTTAGAAGGAGGCTGCTTCTCAGAAGGCGCCGGCAATACATCTACAAAGAAGGCCCGCGCCTTCTGAGAAGCAGGGGTGCTTCTAAGAAGCTTTCCCCCCTCCCCCTACTTACTCCCTTCTGCGCGTGGCCATCCTCATGCTCCTGTCTCCCCCTTCCCCCCTCGTCCCCCCCCGCGCCGCGGGCGACCGAAGCTCCCGGCGGCGGCCCGGATGGCGGCGACATCGCCGGCGGCACGCCGCCCTTCATCCCTCGCGGGGCCGGTTGGGCGAAGGGGGTATGAGCAGGAGAAGGGGCCTGTTGCGGGTGCAAAGAATGCCTGACGACACCGATTGAAGAAGAGACCCTGGCTGCCTTCGTGGGCCAACCTGGTTCCGGATTTGGTTGGGTGGGCCCGCTGTGCGTGTGGGGGTGATGGAGGGTGGTCTGGGTCGCGAGGGAAGACGGGGATCAGGGTGGAGGGAGCTTGGGAAATAGAGAAAATAATGATGGGATCAGGGGGGGGGGCAATAGGGAGAAAACAGGGGGGGGAATGGTATGAGGATGCAGGATGAGGATGGGCTGGGTCCAGAAACTCTGACAATCCGCCGACCCTGTCGGCGTGTGTTTTTTCTGTTTGAGTCGTTGTCGTCGTCACCGCCGCCGCCGCCGCCGCCGCCGCCGCCGTCGCCGTCGCCGTCGCCGTCGCCGTCGCCGTCGTCGTCGTCGTCGTCGTCGTCGTCGTCGTCGTCGTCGCCATCGCCGCTCCCCCTTGTTTTCCCTGTCCGTGGGTACTCCTCGTCAAACGTCCCAGCCAAAGCGTAAGCGAGCAACGTTGCAATCGATTCCAAGGGGAGCCCCTTCCTTTTGATTCCATCCCCGCCAGAGAAGTGGGGAGTGCGTCGGGGGATACGGGGGGTCCAGGGGGAATGGGGGCAAGGGTCGCGGGGATTGAGGACCCCGCGCCCCCGCGGGGGAGCGCCCCATCCCTAGGAGAAATTGTCCCTTTCGTCTCCTTGCCCCCCAAACGCCTCGGGCTCCTCCTCCGAGATCGGTGGCGCTGGCAGTATAGCCTTTTGTGAGATGTATGTATATATACTAAAACCATCGCGCGCGCTTCGCTCGCGCTCAAGTTCTAGCTAGGGTCATGATCATCGTCATCGCTGTCATCCTCATCCCCGTCATCTTCATCAGCATCGTCATGGTCATGGTCGCCATCACCATCACCATCACAACAATCATCAGTATCACCATTATCATCAGCATCGTGATCACCATCGCCATCATCGTCATCGTACTTTTCAGCATCATCATCATGATTCGCATCATCAACATCTTGTTGGTCGTCGTCGGAGTCGTCGTCGGCATAGTCATCGTCATCATCATCAGCGTCATCGCCGTCATCATCCCCGGTCCACTGCAGTCCCCTTCCCCTCCTCCTCTTCCCGTTCTGTCTCTTCCCATCATCTTATGCTCATCCTTTTCCGGGTCGGAGTCTCCCTGGAAGGGATCCCTGTTCCTTCACCTCCTCCTCCTCCTCCTCCTCCTCCTCCTCCTCTTCCTCCTCCTTCTCCTCCTCCTCCCTTTCTTCCCCGTTCTTCGGTGTGTCCCTCCTTGTGTTCCGCGTCCTCCTAATCCTCCAAGTCGATACCAACGCGTGGTACGTTTTCAGACACCACTCCTCTCCCCCCCTCTTCGTCCTCCTGATCATCCTCCCCCCCCTCCTACTCCTCCTCCTCTTCCTCCTCCTCTTCCTCCTCCTCCTGCTGCTGCTGCTCCTCCTCCTCCTCCTTTCCCACCTCCTCTCTTCCTCCTCCTCCTCCTTTCCTCCTTGTCCTTGTCCTTGTCCTTGTCCTTGTCCTTGTCCTTGTCCTTGTCCTTGTCCTTGTCCTTGTCCTTGTCCTTGTCCTTGTCCTTGTCCTTGTCCTTGTCCTTGTCCTTGTCCTTGTCCTTGTCCTTGTCCTTGTCCTCCTCCTCCTCCTCCTCCTCCTCCTCCTCCTCCTCCTCCTCCTCCTCCTCCTCCTCCTCCTCCTCTCTTCTCTCAACGCATCCAATACACGGGTGCCTACTGGAACGCGTGCCGGGAGCCTTTCTGGAAGCATTGTGGCAGTCTCTGGAGCTTCTCTGGGCCTTCCTTTGGAGTCCATTGGGGCCTTTGTTAGCCCGTCTGAGGGCCCATTTTGGCTGTTCCGGGTCCCTCTTGGCTTATTGTGGGGAACTCAGTCCGTCTTGGGGCCCTCCTGGGGCCCTCTCCGACCATGTAGGAATCCTCTGGTGGCCCCCTCGGGCTTCCTGGGGGCTCTCTTGGGCCGTCTTGTAGCTCTTGCGTGCCGCATGAAGCTCTCTTCAGCCCATCTTGGAAACCTCTTTGGGGCCTCTGGGGCCGTCCGGGGCCCATTTTGGCAACCTCTTGGGCCGACGCGACCGGTGGTAGAACTGAAAAGCGGAGCTCCCAGAAATATGAGTTTTTCAATCGGAAATGCTTAATTTTCGGCTTTGGAGGGCCTTCTCAGCGGCCTCTTGGACAGTCCTTTTGTGGCCCGTCTGGGAGCCCATTTTGGCTGTCCCAAGCCCCTCTTGGCATTCATGGGTAGCTGAGCCGTGTTGGGGCCCTCATGGAGCCCTCTCCGATGTAGGGATCCTCCGGTGACTCCCTCGGGCCCCCTGGGGACTCTCTCGGGCTGTTTTGGAGCTCTTTTGTACTGCTCGAGGCTCTCTTCAGGCTGTCTTGGAGCCCTCTTGGGGGCCTCGTGGACCATGGGACGCCGATTTGGAGAACCTTTGGGGCCGACGTGGCCGCCGATGGAACATAAGAAGCGAATGTCCTAGGATGTACGTTTTCCTTTGGAAAATGACATTTTTTTGCACCCGGGAGCCTTCTCAGCGGCCTCCTGGACCGTCTTCAGGGAGTCCTGGGAGGCCTTTTGTGGACCCTCTGAAGTCCACTTCGGCCGTTCCCAGTCCCTCTTCGCCCGTCATGGGGACCTGAACCCGTCTTGGGGCCCTCTGGGGGCCCTCTCCGACCATGTAAGATCCTCTGGTGGCCCCCTCGGGCTCCCTTGGGGGCTCTCTCGGGCCGTCTTGTAGCTCTTCTGTGCCGCGTAAAGCTCTCTTCAGCCCATCTTGGAAACCTCATTGGGGCCTCTTGGGCCGTCCGGGGCTCATTTGGGGAGCCTCTGGGGCCGTCGCGGCCGCTGGTAAGCAAATATCAAAGAAATATACGTTGTACTTGCCCTTGGAGGGCCTTCTCGGCGGCCTCTTGGACCGTCTTGAATGCCTTTGTGGCCGTCTAGGCGCAGTCTTGGGCTGTCTTCGAGCGCTCGTGGCCCGTCCAGAAGCCATCTCAGTGCGCTCTTCATCCACGTTCCAGACAACCTGGGGCGCTTTGGGCGTCTCTTGAGCCAGATTGGGAGCCTCTGGGGGGGTCCAGGGCCCCTTCTGAACCCTCTTGGAGCCCTCAAGGCCCCCATGGCCCCCCATGCGAACCAAAGGCAGCAATTCTGGGCCCTCCCCCGGCCTACTACGATATATGTATATATATATATATATATATGTATACATACATACATACATACATACATACATACATACATACATACATACATACATACATACATCCATCCATCCATCCATCCATCCATCCATCCATCCATACATACATACATACATACATACATACATACATACATACACACATACAAAGTTGTAGATCCACGTACACATATATACACATGCATCGATGTGTGTGTATGTGTATAGGTGTGTGTATGTGTACGTACGCACGTATGTATGTATGTATGTATGTAGGTACGTATGTAAGAACGTATACATGTATGGCCGTATGTATGCATGTATGTATGCATGCATGCATGCATGCATGTATGTATGTATGTATGTATGTATGTATGTGTGTGTGTGTCTGTATGTATGTATTCATGCATGCACGCATGCATGTATGTATGTATGGATGTATGTATGTACGTATGTATGTGTATATGCATTTGCATGTACACGTACATGTAGTACCGTTGTATGTATGTATGTATGCATGTAGGTGTGTATGCGTGTATGCGTGTATGTATGTATGTGTATACGTTTGCCGTACATGTCGCCGCAGCAGGGTGTTTCGGACCCTGGTACTGTCAAATAACGGCCCAGGACGAAACAGAACAACTCCCAAGCAGGGGGGTACAGGTCTGGGGCCCCGAGACTCGAACGCATCGAGTCGCCGGAGATCTGGGATGACAGGGGGGGTGGATGCATTTATGGAGGATGCAGGAGCACGAGGAGGATGAGGAAGACGAGGAGGAGAGAGAGAGAGAGCGATACAACTATATATATATAGGTATATGTTTATATAAACGTATATAAAAGGCTATATATATATATATTCAGAGAGAGAGAGAGCAATATCTATATACAGAGAGAGAGAGAAATAGAGAGAGAGAGCTAACCCAACGTCTGGGGCCCGACGGGCGGCCTGGCCACCCGCGCAGCACCTCACTCAGGCGACGAGGTGCTGGAGCCGCCCCTCCGGCTGGCCATCGCTCGGACGTCCGTTCCCTGTGCTTTTTTGTTGGGTTTCGCGCGCGGTTTTTCGCAGGAGGATCCAGGATGCTCCGGCATTATCCCCGCCGAGAACAAGTGCACACGTCCGAACGATACCAAGCCCCCTGAGCGCCACAAGGACCGCGACGGAGGTGGCGCGGGCGTGCGCTGAGACGCGCGCCGGGAAGGAACCGTGGCTCAGCGACAGACTCCGCGTCGGACTTATCACTGCCGACCACTCGGCAACAGCCGCTCGACAGGTTTACCAAGACAACTTTTCTTCTGCTCCCCGATGGCGGAGAGCCCGTGCAGGGTGAAGAAGAGCTGCTCCAATCCGCTACCCCTGAGCGCGGCGCACCAAAGATGAGAAGCTTGCAGGGAGAGAGGATGAGGATGAGGAGGAGGAGGAGAAGGAGGAGAAGGAGGAGGAGGAGGAGGAGCAGAAAGAGGAGGAGTCGGATTGATGACATACCAAGGGTATCAGCTCAGCGCAACAGGGCGCGTCGCCCGCACCCGCTCCACACAGCCGGCCGCCGCAAGGGATCGGGAGACGTGCGCGACGGCATTCGCGGCGCGTGCCTGGGACGTGCATGCGGGTAAGCTCCCGCGCCCCAAGTGGCCACCCGCATGCATGCCCGAGGCACGCGCCGCGAATGCCGTCGCGCACGCCTCCCAAATCCCCGGCGGCGGCCGGCCGTGTGGAGCGGCTGCGGGCGAGGCGCCCTGTTGCGCGGGAGCTCACCCTCGCCAACGCTGGCAGGGCTCTCGCGGCCACTGCGAGGCATGCCGTTCAACTCAACAGCCAGGTGTCGCGGGGCCTGGCGTGGCCACCGCACGGAGCAGATGTGGTGTGGAGGGGCGACGGGGTGCGGCACGACGGGGCACCGTCCTTTCGCCCAGATCTCGTTCGAGATTTCGGGGAACTCCAA